TTGATTTTCATTGAACTGTTTGCTGAGGCTGATGAAGAGCCTTTTAATTTTGGCATGGGATTTTGTTTTTTTGGGCCTGAGGACATCTGAGCCTGTGAGGCAGTCAAAGCAGGCATGATAGGATGTCTTCCGCTGAAAAGACATAAGGTTCTCCATGGGGGCAACTGGTGTCGTCTGAGCCAGTGTTTCCGGCACACCTTCTTCTGGGCAGAGGACAGTTCCTTCTGACCCGCATGGCTTGGGGAAGCAGGAGGAAGTACAGAACTGTGAGCAGACGTGTGGTCTTGAGCCTCTGTGGTGGTGTTCTGTGCAGCCTGGCAGCTATGAACCACACCTAATCAATCTCGTGATCGCATCTCCCCCTTTTTTTGTAGTATGTGAGCTTAAGTGTGCAAGTGTCTGTGTACATGCATGTGCATGCTGACGCCAGAGGAGGACAGAAAGGTGTCAGGTGTCCTCATCTGTCTTCATCTCACCACCCTGAGACAGGGTCTCTCACTGAACTGGAAAACTTGTGGATTCTGCTAGGCTGGCTGGCCAACAGGCTTGGGGAATCCATAATGCTGGCGTTACAGGCATGTGCAGCCATACTCAGCTTTTTATGTGGGGACTGGGGATTCAAACTCACGTCCTCATGCTTGAAGAGAGCAAGCACTCTGACCCACTGTCATCTCTAGGGAGCAAAAACTTCACTTACAGAGCTGGGTGTGGTGGGGCACACCTTTAATCCCAGGAAGCAGAGGCAGGTGGATCTCTGTGAGTTCAAGGCCAGCCTGGTCTACACAGTGAGTTCCAGTTAGTTGGGGTGACAGTGATACCATTAAAAAAAAAAATTACTTCTAATCCTCATAATCGCGTTACATGTTCAACAGCTGCTTGTGGCTGGCAGACACTGTACTGCCCAGGGCACACGTGGTGCAGTCCCATTTCCGCAGGGTGGATAGGGCAGTGCAGGTCCAGTCTTTGCTCTGACTCATCAGTTACCTTGGGGGCCTCAAGAAAAGTGGCTAAGCAGAGCCCCCTGCTGGCCGTTGACAGACACAGCAAGGTAGAAAGTGGACCAAATTGTGTGTGCAAGCACATAGGAATCATAGTATAAAGTGGACCTGTTATTATAACAGTACGTTGTGTTTTGACTTTTTTCAGTGCTAGAGATTGAATGCAGGACCTTACTATCAGTTTTTAAAATAATTCCTTAGTGTATATTCATTGTATAAACGATGTTTCATTATGACAGTTCTGTCCAAGTGTACCATGCATTCTGACCACGTTCACCAAGCATTATGGCTTCCTGTCTTGCTCCCACTCTACTAGTTGTAAATATTTTCAAATCTGTCTTACTTCTGGAGTTTCCCTGTACATATCCTTAGTGCCTTTCCCTCAGCTTTGCTTATTCCTAAGGTTTTGGGGGTCTGGGGCTAAGGGATATTTTCGGGGTAGGGAGTTCAGGCTCTGTTTGTAAGACATGATAGAGAGTGAGGGCCCAATCTTTTCATTTTTCTGTAGCCCACAGCAGTCCTCCTGCCTCAGCCTCTTTTGTTTTTAAAGATTTTATTTATTATGTATACAGTGTTCTGTGTGTATGCTTGCACACCAGAAGAGGGCACCAGATCTCATTATAGATGGCCGTGAGCCACCATGTGGTTGCTGGGAATTGAACTCAGGACCTCTGGAAGAACAGCCAGTGCTCTTCACCTCTGAGCCATCTCTCCAGCCCTGCCCCAGCTTCTTGGGGATTACACGAGTGCCACCAGGCTTGGCTATAATGCCTCTTGCCACCCAGCTCAGTGATCAGTGTATCTGCTCAGGTCCTTTCCCTGCTGGGTGGCGTACTCACATGAGCATGGACACACTGGGCAGTGCAGCAACAGGATGAACACAAGGCAACCTTGGGCCTTTTGAAGCATAAAGGCTGTCCCACTACACCTTCCTTTTGCTTTTTGTGGGTGATGACATATTTCTTTCCCCATGTGCGTGGTTGTTTATGAAAATTGATGAAGCAGTTTGGAAATTACTGTTAGTGAAACTTCTGTGTGCACTAGAGTTTGGCTTACACACACACACACACACACACACACACACACACAGAAGATTTACTACTGTCTCTAAACATGCAGCCTACTATGGAGCTACGCCCTGGCCCCAGGATTAGAGTCTTTCAATAGATCTTCTACACAGGCCACCTCTATTTTGTTTGGTATTTTGCACTGGGGAATATGCTATTTTTTTTTAAACATAAGGTATTAGATAATCTTTTGTTTTTTAAGATTTATTTATTATGTATACAACATTCTGCCTCCATGTATCCTTGCATTCCAGAAGAGGGCACCAGATCTCATTATAGATGACTGTGAGCCACCATGTGGTTGCTGGGAATTGAACTCAGGACCTCTGGAAGAGCAGTCAGTGCTCTTAACCTCTGAGCCATCTCTCCAGCCCCCCCCCCCCTTTTTGAGACAGGGTTTCTCTGTGTAGCTTTGCGCCTTTCCTGGAACTCGCTTTGTAGCCCAGGCTGGCCTCGAACTCACAGAAATCTGCCTGGCTCTGCCTCCCGAGTGCTGGGATTAAAGGCGTGCGCCACCACCGCCCAGCAGGGATATGCTATTGTGAATAAGGGCTTCTTCACTGGTTTTCTGTCTGTGTAGCTCTCCTGCAACACTGAACCTTGTGTTACTTTTTAAGCGTTACTGAGCATTTCTGGCCAAAGCCTTCCCTTGTCTGAGCCCCCAGTCTAACCAGGGAGCTAGGAGGATGGAGCTGACAGGCTGTCACCACAGCCAGTGGGAGTCAGAGCACTTCCACGAGATGCTGAGGCTCTAGTCTAGTCTGGGAAACCAGATGCATAGGAGTCACCGCATGACTGCTCCAAACTCAAAGGTTTTCATGCTTTGGGGATTTTTTTTTTTTAAAAAAGATTTATTTTTATAGACATGGGGGGTGTTTTGCCTGCATGTATGTAAGTGCACCATGTACATGCAGTACTCAAGACCGTCATGAGGGCATCAGATTCCCCTGGAACTGGAGTTACAGATGGTTGTGAGCCACCACGTGGATGCTAGGAATCAAATCTGGGTCCTCTGTAAGAGCAGTCTGCGTTCTTAACCACTGAGCTCTCTCTCCATCTCTTTTAGCTAAGATTTTTGTCTCTTGCAGAACCCCAGGGTGAATGGGCAGTAGTGCTGGAGTTCAGGGGGAGGCAGAGATCCCCAGTACACCCCCTTCAGCCTTTGCTCCCCAAATGAACGAGTTAGTGATGGCTAATTTTACCTCAAGTCTGGGCCAGACTGAAGCCTCTAGAATCAGAGATCTGGAAGGAGTGCCTGTTTCTATGGCACTTGGGCTTAAGGTGTGTCTTTATAAGTATTTTTCTTGTGGGGAGTGGAGTTCAGCTCTGTCCTTAACTGAGATACTGGAGGACAATGGGAACTCAGCCCTGTGGCTGCTTTCTGATGGGAACAGTTCCTTCACAGCCCAGACACTAAAGACACCGAAACCTTTCTCATTGTTAGTCCCTGAACACATGCACTGGGACAGACTTCCTGGTTCTTGGTTACCAATTCTGTTTGCCACTGCATCCCTCAAAAAAACCCCATCCATATCTTAGGACACAAGCCCACCAGTTATGTGGCTGTTTTCCCCATGGAATCCAAAGTTCCTAGTGGGCAGAGGCCACACTTCTTGCAATGTCTGGTTCTGGGTTGGGCCCAATTATTTGAACAAAGGAATCGAGGCAGTAGAGATTACAGATGATGACGTTTTTTTCCCCCATGAAAAGGTTTATGCTTAGCTACACTCTGAACTTCAGAGCAGAAAGGACCTAGGTAAGACTCCAGTGTGACTTCCTTATCTTACCTGGAGGAAGTGGCCCTCCCATAGGGGGTGGGGTTCTGAAGGCCATAACTCTGGAGCCTTAATTCACTACTTGGGCAGCTCCCAGCATCTGTATGTGGTAAAGGACCTAGAAAAATTTCAAAATGCTTCTGGATATAATACAAACTGATCAAACAGTACTTTGGCTCTATTTAGGTAAAACGTATGACGCTGCTTTGGAGCTTAGATACATGTGTACATGTGAAATACACAGGCCCCCAGAATAAGGGGACTTTTAGAAAGTTTTGTTTTTGTTTTGAGACAAGGTCTTGCAATGAAGCCCTGGCCAACTTGAACCTGTGACCGAGGACTTGCACCACACCTGACCAGAAGGAGTCTTTTCTTTTGGGGCACTGAGCATCAACCCAGGACCTCACCTATGCTAGGCGGACACTCCGACCACTGAGCTGAAGCCCCGGCCTGCTGGTGTCAGCCGCTGAGTGGGGCAGCTCCTGGGGCAGACCCTGCACTCTCAAGACGCCTTCGGCCAGGTGTCTTTTAAATCTTTTAAACACGTGCCTGATGACCAAGTACCGAGCACTCCTAACTGAGTACACACACGTGCTCATACCTGAGCAGATTTAAAGATGGCCCCCCATGGTACGAGGGTGAGGCTCCCTGCACCAACTCCCAGGGTTCCTTTGGGAACTCCTGCTGTGAAGGTAGGGAGTCCCTGTCTGTGCTGTCTGGGTGCTGCCCCTATTAGGTCTGCAGTCACTAAGACACTCTGCGTTAGCAGACAGCACATTTGGGTCATTTCCTCTTGTGAGGAGTTTCTCCCAGGGCCAGGAGGCTTCCTTCTCCTTCAGGAGCAAAGCAGTAGCCCCTGAAGGGTGAGGGACCCAGACCACTCACGGGAGGCGGTTTGCACTGCTCACTCATACAGACTCCAGCTGACGTCAGAGAACCCTGGCATCGATGACAGGTCCTCCTCGGGAAGTAAGCCTACCTATCCCAGAGTGACAGTCCCCTGTGTTTGCAGCCCTCCATTTGTCCCACCCAAATGACTTTCCCTTAGGTAAGGCAATCCACAACACACCTGGAAGGGCAGAAATGGCCCACTGTTTCAAAAGATCAGGGAGGAAGTGAGAAAACGGTCTGATGCATGTGGACATAGTAAAAACTCACAGTTTAGAGATTGAATTTACATTTTACTTAAAAAAAGGGAGTGGGGTGGGAGGACATACACAGAGGGGAGGAGGTGGGGACAGCGATCTGAAACAGATTTCTATGATTTCCCCACAGTGATGGAGTCTGTGTGTCGGGCAGAATTTCTCCTGCTGGTTACAACATCAACAAGGCTGGAGGCAGGGAACTGCCTGAAAGGGAAGGGAAGTTACCATATACAAGGTCAGTTCACAACACAGCATTTCTTTAAATGATGTAACGCAGTCGCAGGAAGAAGTTAGCAATACGAACACGAGAATAATCAAATTTTTGTTTGTTATCCATGTACAGCAACTAACTGCTTTACAAAAAAAGCAAAATAATACAATATTATCATCACATGTATTTACAATGTAGTAAATAGACTTTTCTGTCAAATTTTACACAAACTATGTACAGGTGAATATACTGCATTAAAAAAATGGGGTGGCCGACACTAAGTGGATTTTTGAATAAGTCCATTGCATAATATTGAATAAGACATGCCTCAGTATGCTTGGGGGTAAATGTAGGAAAAACAAGAACGAACAAAAACCCCCCAAGCCTGGAAAGAAAACTCAAATCTCCCACAGGAAACTTGCAACCCTAACTGGAGGGAAGGGCTGCTGCCCCGCGCCCCTCAGGACGTTCATCCCGGGGTGGGGTGCAAGCTGACTATACTGTGGTGTCCTAGCTCCCCAGCTCAGTGATGCCCAGGCCAGGAGGCCACAGATGGGTGATCCCAATACAAACACACCAGAGTCCCTGTTTTCTTCTTCAAGTCAGGGAAACACAAACTGAGGACAAATCACAGAACTCACACCGATGATGTAAGATGGCCATTACTTGGAACTGGGGTGCTCTCCTCCTGGGGAGGGGACAGCTGGTGACATTTAAGTTCCTCAGCTTCAGCTGCTAGGGAAGTCAGACTTCCCTCAAAAGTTGGAAGTTCTGCCAGGCGGTGGTGGCGCTCGCCTTTAATCCCAGCACTGGGAGGGAGAGGCAGGCGGATCTCTGTGAGTTCAAGGCCAACCTGGTCTACAGAGTTCTGGGACAGCCAGGGCTACACAGAGAAACCCTGTCTCAAAAATACAAAAAAACAAAAACAAAAACAAAAACAAAACCAAAAAAACAAAAACAAAACAAAAAAAACCAAAAAAACAACTTGGAAATTCTGTACATCAGATAAAACTGAAACCCTTCAGGAGTACTGGATGTACTGATCAAAAGCATTTCTGAATTTGGAGGTGGCTCCATTTGATCTCTGCAAGGGGAGCTCAAATGGGGGACATTTAAGAACCATGCATGGTACTATGGGAAACTCCTTAGAGAAAGAGCGCCACATTTACAAGTTTTCCTGTGTTTGGGAGGTGAGGGAGCAGTAATGGCCGCCTTCTGATGCACCAGTCTCTTTAGAGGACAAGTGAGCAACAAAGTTGCGGGAAAAGCCTCCCCCTGCCTATGGCTGGCTGCAGAACCGGAGCTTTGGGGGTGTGCCCCCAGAGCTTGCTGGGGGAGAAGACAGGCCCTGGCAGCCTGGCTCCTCTGCTCCACAGGTTTCTGATGGAGCCTTTACAACAGCTGGAAACAAACGCTCAGTTCGCTGCCTCTGTCTTCAATGTTTTCCAATGCATCTATGTTAAAATCACTACTAATACTAGAGTTTTTTCCTTTTATTTTGGCAAATGGTTCTTACTTATCCCAGGACTGTAAACAAATTAAAAAAATTAAATTCTTGTTACTTCTGAATATCAAAAGCAATTTTATTTACATTAACATATTACATTGTTACTGTATGGATAAGTGTGAAATGTGTTATATTATTAAAGTCAGAACACTTAATTGTATCATTATTTATTGACTTAGCTGTGGAGTTTAATTTACTGAAATCCACTAGTGGGCTAGCACTACAGGACCCCCCCCCCCCCCGTTTCTTTTTGTTCCTCCCAAAGCCATTACATCTTAATATCTGAAGGGAACCTGGGAGTAGAGGGACAATACCTTTGAAAAATAAATATAGTTCAATCCTAAATGAGAGCACCCCCATCCTACTGCGCTCACTAGATCACTTGCTTTGCATACTGCAGGTGCCAGGAAGCAGCTGGCTGTGCGTCACCTGGAAGGGCCTATGGCACACCAATCCGTGCCATTCTGCAGAGCAGCAATTCTAGAGGCCCTTATCGCACACCATGCAGGCTGACCAGACTTCACAGTGATTAATGCAATCCTATCAGATAGAATCCAAATGTTTTGCTAGAGATTCCTGATTTATTTGGAGGAGAGAAGGAAGATTAAAAGATTTAAAAAATACATCTTATCAAAGAAATTTATGATAATATACAGCATATTCTGTTTCTTGGAAAATTATTTAACAAAATAAGAATATCAGCTACCCTAAGTCACGTACCATTGCATTTTGCTTTGGAGCTAATGGAAAGAGCTATGAAAACCAGCTTCTGGAAGCAGGTCTCCACACTCTGTCTGCTAATTACCCTGCTCAGAGTCGCTCAGGAGAGAGGAGGAGAAAGCAAGTGCAAAAACAAGTGTCCTTACTATACTTGGTATAGTCTCGACTTAAAAAAAAAAAAAAAAAAAAAGAACAGAACACCTTCATATGTAAAGATTAAAAGATAATCAATAGAAAAAAAAAATTACCTAGTTTGGATGACCAAGTATGAATAAGGCCTCAGAACCGATAGCTTTAATTCAGCATGTTAAGATGTATGTGGTCATGCTTACTTTCCTGTAATTATTGCTAATACTCAAATGTTAGTATTTCTTAAGAATCCATTACAAAATCCTAGTTTATCCCCTCCCCCAAGTACCTGGCTTGTGGCTTTATGGTGTAAATTCTTAATGAGGCTTGACCTCTATGGTTCCTTCAACTTCATAAGGTAAAAAAAAGTCCACAGCTAGATTATTAAATACACTGGGGTTAAAAGATTCTTTCTCCCCAAACTTGGAAAGCGTGTAACTAAGACAACCACTTCACTCTGTGAGACAAGGGAACAAAGAAGGCCAACCTCCGTGCATGGCCCACAGCTGGCGGCAGCAGCACTGGAGGACTCATCCGCTCCCACAATCCACGCTCTCCGCTCGCTTCCTGACCGCCTGCTTTCCTCGCAGCCGTCAGAACAAGTGCTCACACCAGACACATGCCGAAGTAGAGGGAAAACACTAAAGAAAAGCAGCATTAAATTTAGGCATTGCTTCCAAGAGTTGATCGTCTGGCAACATGGCAGACCGGAGGGTTCATAAGACAGGAAGTGCAGCAGTGCAGTGTGGGCGGGGCCAGGTTAGGGAGGGTCACTAGTGAGAAGCCCAGGTTAGGTTGGTTTGAAAAGGGAAAGAAAGAAAGCTTCACACGATCTTCTTAATGCTATTACGTTTGAAACTGCCAGCGCTTCTTTGCTTCTGCACTTGGCTTGCGGATCCATGGCGAGTTCGTCCACTGTTACAGTGGCCAGTGGTGGGGGAGAGTTCAACGTTCTCCTTGTCGATTCCTAGAGAGAAAGAGCAGCTGATTACTCCTTCTCTCCTGCTGCTGGCTCAGGGACCAAATCTTACTGTGTGTGAGATACAACCTGGGGAATGGTTCCAGCACATTCCATTTGAATAGTAAACTGCTAGGAGGTTTATAAAAGCCTTGTCGTGTACAGAACCTCACATTTTGCTAAGCTGAATCTGCTATCATTGCAGTAAAACAAACGTAAGAGAAAAAGAGAAGTTGCCAGAACAGCTGAAGGGAGGCCACCAGGGAAGCCTAGAGAGAACTCTCTTCCAGTCATACCAGAAGTGTTCAGCAGAGGGCAGCTTCTAGCTACATATCTCTAAAATTCACAAACAGCCTCCCTCTTTCTACATAGCTGTCATTCCAGAAAAAGGCAGATGCTTTTCATTTTATCGGCTTCAATGCCTGTTCTGGAGGAATGAAAGCATTTCCTGAAAAGGTCATCTACCACGTGGGCCATGCTCTGAAACCTTTGCCTCTTTCCAATCATGGCAGGTCACCACACTCTTCTCAATTTTAATCGAGCAGATGACATTTCTCTCTCTCAGGGTCTTACAATGAATTTTCTAAACAACTTAAGTGATATTTTTACAAGATATTCAGAACAAAAGGGGAGATTATAAAAAGATCTCATCATATTGGTCAAGGTTACAACTGAGACAAGAAAGCAGTGCCTGAGGGGGGGGGCAGTGGTGTGGGCGGCTAGCATGTTCCTTCACAGGCCTTGATATGTACCTTGATCATTTATCGAATGATTTATTGATAATTTATTGGTTTATTTATTTATTTACTGATTGATTAATTATTTATTTATTGATTGACTGACTGACTGAGACAGGGTCTCTTTATGTAGCCCTGGCTGTCCCAGAACTTGGTATGTAGGCTAGGCTGTCCTAGAACTCTAGAGATCTGTCTACCTTTGCCTTCAGAGTACTGGAGTCAAAGGCTTGCGCCACTACGCTTGGTCTTGAATCTTGATTTTGAGAGAGTTTGCTTCTAAAAAGTTTATTACACTGTAAACTTATAATCTGTCTACTTTTTTGCCCATTATCATTCAATAAAATTTGCTTCCCAAACAGACATTATACTCATTTCTAGCCTAACTACTGATGGGAAGCACTCCAGTAGCTGGTATAAATGTTCACAGATGTAGAAGGAGGAAAAGCAAGAATAAGACAATCCACATACAGAAAGGAAGGGTAAAACAAACGGGGGTGGGTAGACAGGGAACATCTGTCTGTCCACATGTTATATACCCTGACAGCTTACTTGTTCCACGTGTAACTTTAACTTTCTTTTTGTATATACTGTTGGAATTTAAAAAGAATCATTACATTTGGAATGGAAACATTTCCATTCTGGGGCAAGAAAGTATTATTTCAAGACAAGAGTTATCTATCATGTTACAGGAAATGGAACAGATCCATGCAGCAGTTTGTAGACTCATGAAGAGAACCGAAGCTGGGGGTGACTGTTCTCTAGAACCCGTATCTTGCATCTGAACTTGACCCCCATTCAATACTGTTCCGCTCCCGTCTTCTGACCTCTCCCCTCCGTTCCCTTCCTGGTGAATGGTTCCACCTCCCACTAGAGCCACCCTCTCTCCCTATAACCACCTGTATCTGCGTCTCAGCTCTCCCAGAGAGGGACCAGTTATCATTCACTTTTGTTTTTTCATAAAATCTAGCCAATCACTTTCACTGCTGGCTAAATGTTTCCTCCCCATAAATGTGATGGCTGGAGCCCTCCAGTGCACTGTCCTGAAGCACGCAGCCCTTACTTGGCACACGGGATGACACCACATGCCTTAGAAGGAGACATTTCCTAGCAGCCTTCTCCCTTGTGAAATGACTACAGGCTCTCAGTGTGCCTGACATTAGTGTATCCATTCCCTGATATCTGCATGTTCAAGTCCAGCATTTCCTCAATGGAGGTTGTTTCCTTAATAGGAATATGCTACATCTTATTTCCTAATGAGGAAGTCAGAAGGCAAAATAGTGTGATGGGATTCCTAAGTCTAACCAAACAAACATACTTTACTGTAAAGATCAAGGAGAAAGCTGCATAAATATTTTAGAGAGCACTGTATTTGTGTATAAAAGAATAAATAAAAGGTAGTTTTAAATAACAAATTTTGGGAGATTTCTTTTTTAAAAAGCAATAGAATGAGTTCTCTTTACACCAACATAGAGAACTGGGAAAGCAGAGCGAGGACAGCAGAAGGAACTGATACTTCCGTCTTTTTCTTCTGAAATTGTGGCAGCATTCTTTATACCTCTAGAATGCACTCTAGAAACACTTCCATGTGCGGCTGGAGGACTGCAGCCTGCTCACATGGGGAGAAGCCCTGTGCTGGCACAGGCCTTACTTCAGACTAGAGAGAAAGGCATGGCCTGGCACTCCTCCCCTGGGCCTCTCTGAAGCTCTGTATCTGTGCTCTCACGTTCCTAAGGCAGCAGCTCCGCCTTCCTCCTTCCTTCCATGAGGAAGAAACCACAAGTCACCACAAAGCTTACGGAAACAAAGCTGAAGGTTCTGTGCTGGGATGTGCTGCGTTGAACTCCCGCCATCAGGCTGCACTCAACAGGCAGCCAGTTACAAGTGTGGGGCACAGACGCACTGTGCCGGGCTGGCTCCGGATGAAGATGGACACCAACAGGCATTCGGGCCAACACTGTGAACTGATCGTGAACTGATCGAGTTGGGAGAAGGACTGCCAGATTCTATTCTAGGTGCTTGCCTGCCTCCCTACTATAACCTGAGCCCCTTGAGTGCAGGTATCGGAACTTCCTTATTTTGACACTACTGGTCTATAGCTCCTGCATGGCAGTAACAAATAAACACTAACACACTTACAGGAACTACACCGAGTAATCTGTCCGAAGGTGAAGGCCGGCCCCAACGCCATCACTTGTGCAGGAGTCTACCTGGGCTCCTGCCTGCCTCCCTCAGTTCCCTACATACAGCAGGGCAAACCTGCCAGAAAACTCTCGTCTCCACACAAGTGGGCAACCACACTGAAGAACAAAGCTGAAGTCTGTGGTGCTGAGAATGAACCCGGGCCTCCTGCATGCTGCACAGTGCAGGCCACCAAGCTGCAGTCTCAGCCCTGAAGCCCCAGTCCTAACGGATCGGAACTCCTGCTGCCTCTAGAGTAAGAATGAACTATCCGGATGAACTGTCTGGATGCTGAAAATGGAAGCAAGAGTCTGCTTGCACTCAACTCTAAACTACCTGCCATCCCCTCGGCTTCTGCTCTCATTTGGGAAGGTTAAGGACAACACATTGCCTGTTTTACAGGGCTGTAAGGAAAACTGGGTAACAATCTACAGAAAAATCATGATTTTTCTGAATTGCACAGATAAAATTATTACTGTGTTTTTTAAATAAATTAAGATGTTTCTAATACCTGGAATGAAAGAGATTAGGTAACTAGCAAATGAAGCTTTAGGACAAATGTACAGGACTCAAATTTAATGCTGGAATTTGTAAAATTACTAAAGCTAATGTAAGGAGCACAAAACATTTTAAAGAAAAGCTAAGTATGATAGTTATAGTTGATGTTTATGTTATAGTGACTATATTTATGGAGATATCCCAAGTATATATTTAGAAATATCTGTATTTTGAGCTGGATATACAAACTTAGAATTAACTGTAGGAACTTTCCGAATGTATGGGCTTTCCCTCATGCTGGCATTTCTTTTTCCTCTGAGGTCTCTCTGGGTAGCAGTACAAAGACTACATGGGAGAAGCAGGCCATTTCAAAGTCAGGCAGTGATGTGCCACAGTTCTTCCTAGTCCTTGCAGTTAGTTAATGATATTCATCTTTAAAACATGAGTGACAGAATGTACAGTCTTATGATGGGGATGGCTTTACTGGGGGGGGGGGGCAATAATGCCCACAGCCTGCGTCTCTGTTGATATCCTGAGTTTCTGTTAACCTGCTGGGTGCTAACCCAAAGCCAGGACAGCATCTCAGGGCAGGCAGAAGTGGCAACTGAACTAAAACAGGCCCCACTGGCCATCCAGTTCCGTGAGCCCCGGGACCTGATCACACAAGAGCTTTCCGAGTTCCTGTGCTGCCTAAGCCACACTGAGCTTCCAGGACTGGGGCTGGGGAGTCTCATGCCGGGGGCCCAGCTGGCGTGTGGAAGAAGCAATGCTTTGTACAAAGTTGGGGAGACAAGGGCCTTGATGAGGAATGGCTGCTTGAAAACACCTGGCTTAGAGCACACAGAGGAGCACCAGGGGGATGAGGAAAGGATGAAAAGAATGATGTCCAGAGAGTTGGAAGCAGGGAGAGAGCTGTTAGACACTGGACACTTAGGACCATCCCTGGTTTTCAGAAGGAAGCTGGCTTTATTTATGGACCTCTAACCATTATTTTCCTAAGAACAATATGTAGGTAAGTAGAAGTTACTGACTCCCTCAAGCAAGTGTTCCTAGCACAGCATGAGAAGTATTATAAAGCATCAAAACAGTCATGTCAACATACTATGCCATCCTCGTTACTCTGAGAGCCCTCAGAAGTAGGCCACTCTGCTGCTGTGAATATATGTAGGATAAACACATGGAGCTTTCTTCTTTTCTTTGGATTTATAATATAGCTCAGATTGCCTGGAACTCGCTGAGAATGACTGTCTGTGTGTGTAGTCATGCATGCCCCACAGCTTAAGTGTGGATGTCAGAAGACAACTCTTGGGGTCGGTTCACATTGTGGGAACTGAAAGGCATGCAAGTACTTCTATCCACTGAGCCTTATTTGTTTGTTTGTTTTTTGAGACATGGTTTCTCTGTGAAGCCCAGGCTGTCCTGGAACTCACTCTGTAGCCCAGGCTGTCCTGGAACTCACAGAACTCTGCCTGCTTCTGCCTCCCAACTGCTGGAATTAAAGGTGTGCGCCACTACTGCCCGGCTTCCACTGAGCCTTTTTATTGGCTCCAATTCTGGATATTTTCTACAGAGCAATACAGTATTAATCACATGTTTAAGGAAAAAAAACAACTGTGTCTTAGAATCTGTTAAACACCACAAATTGGAAAGAAATAACTTTCACTTAAAACTCAATACTGACACCCACAGGCAAAAACTCTCAAGTCCTTGTAATCAGGACATCTCATCTTTAAATGTATGGAACTAAGGGTTGGAGATATGGCTGCGCTCTCAGAGGACCTGGGTTAAATTTCCAGCACCCACATGGCAGCTCACAACCCTTTATAACTTCAGGTCTGGAGGGTCCCATGCCTTCTTTTGGTCTGCTCAGGAAATGCACACATATGATGCATATACATACATAAGATAAAACATTCATATACACTCTAAAAAATTGTAAAAGAAAACTCTTTAAATGTGTGAGAGTATGGAATGCACACTTACAAAATAAGTGTTCACAGCTGGGTGTGGTGGCACACACCTGTAGTCCTAATACTTCAGAGGCCGAAGCAAGAGGACGGCCAAGAGATTAAGGCAGGGAAAAGGGTGTTCAAATATTTCCTGAATAATGTAAAAATTGATGACACTATACTAGAATACACATCCGATTTGAATGCTTTGGAAATGGATGTATTCAACTACTTCTCAGGAAGTATTAAGCACACATAGTTCTGTTTATTTATTTATATTTTTTAAAGCTAGGGTCTCACTCTGTAGCCCATGTTGGACTCAAATTCAAAGTGATTCTCTTGCCTGGGATTCCAGATATGAGCCACCATACCCTTCTTTTTATGGTGAGGATTAAACCTAGGACCTTATACCACTGAGCTCCATTCCCAACCTTTATCTGGACCTTCCTACTGTACTCATTCTCTGATACCTAAAGAGGATGTAGGCGGAGGACTTGGAATGAAACAGTTATGAAGATTCAACATACAGCCAGGCACACATCTTTAATCCCAGTACTTAGAAGGCAGAGGTAGGTGCATCTCTTTGAGTTGAAGCTAGCCTAGTCTACATAGTGAGTTCCAGGCCAGCCAGGGCTACATACTGAGTGAGACCATGCTCACCTCCCTCCTCCCACCCCTGAAAAAAAGATCAACATGACTTTCATAGAAGCTTCTTTGCTTATCAGTTGGGCTAATGTAAGGGAGTCTGCGAGACTGCACCACAAGTCACACATTAGGAGCATGGACCGAAACTATGGCAGCGTCTCAAAGCCCAGCATGCACAACAACCATCCATCCTCATCAGGAGGCTGACGGGCTCCGTGCTTGGGGTTTCACGTAGGCATGGAAGGCTCAAGTACCTACTCTCAACTGATGCTGATGCTGGGGTGGGTCACACTTGTCCCAGACAACAAGTGATCGGGCAAACACACTGGTTATGGGGGAACTGGGCAAACTACGGAAAGAGAAAAGGATCACCTGATCGGTAAGTAAATTCAGAAAGCAAGTTTAAGAACTGAATATGGCTGGGGGTGTGGAGTGGTGGCGCACACCTTTAATCCCAGTACTTGAAGAGGCAGAAGCAGGCAGAACTCTTATGAGTTCAAGGCCAGCCTGGACTAAAGAGTTGAGTTTCAGGACAGCCAGAGCTACATAGAGGAACCCTGTCTCAAAAAAACAAAACAAGAATTGAATATAATTTTTTACAAAATATTTATAATATGGGTTGGGTATTATACCTTGCCTGATTCTTTAGAATCTTCAAAACGACCATGTACATGGCAATGTTTATGCAACACTGTGACAACTATTTACAGAGATTCTATTTATAGATCATGAACATCACAGAATAGTTATGGTCTGACTTGTGTAATGAAAATGCATGCTAACAGCTAACATTTACACAAACTATGTACACTACTTCAAAGAATTTCCTTACACTGAGATGTATCACACATGACCTTTTCAGATAATGGAACTTGGGTAACTTAAGTAAGGAATCCTTTTTAAACATTTTAACTCACTTAGAAGAAAATCTTTTCAATAGAGCACATGATCCACACATCAGCTTTTCACCGTTACCCACTGTCGTCACAACTCACACAACAGTGCTGATGTTCTGTAGTGAGCACTATCTTAGGGTCAAGCCGAGCTGTATGAAGCCATTCCTTCAGACAATAACAGGGCTTGGAGTCGGGCAGATGCCTTTCCGGCCACCTTTTTTCTTTCAGTACCTCAGGGGCTCTTAGCCGTAACTACTCAGTGTATTGACCTCTAAGTTTTATTATTATGATTGCATACACTTTCAATCCTGGCACTGGGAGGCAAAGCAGGTGGATCTCTGTGACTTTAGGCCAGCCTGGTCTACATAAGAGTTCTAGGCCAGTTGGGGCTATAAAGTGAAACCTTGTCTCAAAATACAAATAAAAATAAAGTTTCACTGGTCTGCTTTGCCCATTTGATCAATCCAACAGTGACTACTGTAGGATTATAATGGTGAGTTTTAAGATTTCTTTTTCTTGGGGGGATAGAGAGATGGCTCAGAGATTAAGAGCACTGACTGCTCTTCCAGAGGTCCTGAGTTCAATTCCCAGCAACCACATGGTGGCTCACAACCATCTGTAATGAGATCTGGTGCCCTCTTCTGGCCTGCAGTCATACATGCTGTATACAGAATAAATAAAT